AAATAAATAATCTTGCTTTTTCCGTTGTGTATGTTGAGGCCTGCTGATGACATACTGTTTATCTTCAGCCGTATTTGTTCTCGTTTATCGAATACAAGGGTCAGCTCATTTTCGAAGTTCAATTCGTCTAGTTGTATCCAAGCCGTCTATTGTACTCCGTGCTTTACCTCAGATATCGGGTTCTTCATAATCCAGTCAACCACCAAAAGAGAGAGAAAGGATGAGAGTAAACAACCCTGTCTGATACAGGTCTTCGCTTGGAATGCATCTGTCAGCTTCACTCCATTCACGATTTTGCAATATAGTCGGTCGTATGAATTCCGGATGATGTTGACTATATCCTCAGTTACTCACACCATGGTGTCGAAGAAGGTTTCATAATGTTCGCTTATCCACACTGTCAAATGCGTTCTCATGGTCTAGGAAGTTTATATATAGTGACGAGTTCCACACAGTTCAACGATGATACGTAGTGTCGCCATTTGGTCTGTTCAGAACCGACCTTTATAGAATCCGATCTGTTGATTTGGAAGTTCAGTGTCTTCTGAATCTTTCATCTGGTTCAGAAACACTTTTCCAAAAACTTTATCTGGTATTGACAGTAGCGTGATGTCTCTGTAGTTCTCACATTCTCTCAGATGTCCTCCTTTTGGTATCTTGATGAGGTGACTTTCCTTCCAGTCTATCAGTGGCATTTGTCACTCCTTCCAAATTTTTCTGCATAGAATGTGGTGCATGTTTGCACTTACTTCTATGTGAGGTTTCAGTACTTCATATGGTGTGTTTTCAGGTCCTGCTGCTTTCCCAGTCTTGATCTGTCTGGTGACCACCTTGAATTCTATCGTTGATGTAGTGACCGTTGTAGGAAGGTCTGTGAAGTGCACCGATGTTCGGTGGGTTTGTTGTTCTTGTCTATTCGAGAGTTCTCTAAATCATCCTGCACACTTGCTTCGTATAGTAGAATCGCAGGGATTGAGTTGTTTCCTTTGTTCTTGAATGATCATCCAGCTTTAAAAAATTTCCTTGTCGTTGCCTTTATTGTAACATAAAGTTGTTTCACACTTTCTTCTCTTGCAGCTTTATTGGCCGTTATTGCTGATATGATAGAAAGAAAAGTCAATTTTCGATCGAATTACTCATTATGAGTTTTAATCAATATTACATCCGTTTTGATCCAACGTGAGGATCACTCCGTGTAGTATTTGATTTATTTTCCCAGTATGATATTTTCTTCTGTACAACATACGATATTCTTGTATTCACTTGACATAAACTATGCTCAATGAGTGATTTGTTATAACTGAGTATGTGATATAATCCTAATTATTAATCAAAATGGGTGTACAATCAATATATAAAGCAGTGTATTTTAGATTATTTTTTATTTGTCGTCGTCATGGTGTTTTGGGGCTAATAAATCTCCACTTAAACCAGTCTTGTGTTCTTATTTTTTCATCGTGGGAATTGCCGAGATCCCTCATTCCGAGTATAAGTGATCAACGTTCTTCCGGCACAGCAATCAGCGACGATCAAATATAGCAGTTGCTAGGTTGTTCACATACTTCCACTTATTAGCATGTTGGAGTTATTGAGTGCTTAACTACTTTTCAGTTGTTCGCCGCAGTAGGATCCTCTTCTTTGAGTAAGTATTGAAATGCGCGGAAACTATAGCTGAGATTTATCTTGAATTCCCTGAATTTTCCAAGATTGCTAAAGAAAGCTGTATTCAACCTTTGTAATCCTGTTTATCCAGTTGTCCAGTGTTTCTTCAGCCACACTTTCGTCCCGGGCACAACTCACGATCAGTGTATGACGGTTAAACTTTTTTTTACTTGTAAAGGTTGCTGGAATCCATGAACATACACACCTGATCATATCTTGTTGTGGATATTTCTATGGATTCGCAGTTATTAAATCCATAATTATTAACTATTCCTCTTCTTGATTAGCATGTTAGTTTGTGCTCAACAAGCCCTTGACTTTATAGCACAGGCTGTACCGTCTGAGGTCTTCGTTGCTTCTTATATAACTTATTGTCTTTCTTAAATTACATCTGTTTAAATTTAACATAGAGTTTGGTTTTTGATTTGATTTAATATGAGTCGCTCAAAAACGCTTTATACACATCGCAGAAGAAAATAGCTTAACTTAATTTACTTTTGTTCGTTAGTTCTGCGTTCAAACTGAATATTGGTATTTCGGTCGTTACAGTAGGTGTGGTGTATAACTGATACGTTTACTGTACAATTAAAAATTTTGCTGTGTCCAAGCCTGCCATAACAGCTGCGACACAATTTGGTATTCTGTACTTCCAATTCACGTCCCCGCCTGTATCTTCTCAGTGGTCTAGGCCAATTCGAATTAAGTGTCCTGTTTGACATTTTGAAGTTTACTATAGTATTGATGAGGTCTGTTATCGAAATAAGCTTACTGGTCTCGTTATAAAAGATATCTCGTCTTCATAAACAAGATAAACGCTCACAGATCTTACGCATACAAGTCACCCAAACCGAAAATATGGTTAAAAACCACCTATAATTATATCTCTTAAGCAAATACCTTGAAGGGAATGTTGTTGCTTCTTCAAACCAGTTGAGTTTCTTGCGGATGAAAAAAGTCAGGAAATAACCCATTGGTAACATTTTATTTGAACTTAAAAGTCGTACTATGGAATTCAACACAAATGATTGGGAAAGCTCACCTGCAACCAACCGATCATCTCGATTTTCGTTTGATTTGGTGTTTACTTGTTAAACTAGGACTGCCAAAATAAAGTGGTAAATGAAGATACACATTAAATAGATGGTTAAACGTATGCTGTTCTTTTTCTTATACCCTATCTTGAGTGACTTCTGAGGAACGCGTCGCCAAGACCAATTCCAATTAAACTAGTTGATCTTAGACACAAAGAATTATCAATCAACAGAGCTTTTTTATTAGTCAAAATAAAGCTCTTACATGCCGGAGTACATTCGAAGGACAGTGTCGTCGCATGATTTAATAACCGGTCTCAGGAAGCGCATGAAAATCGACAACAAAATTGACTACGATGGTATTAGAACTATCTTTGAAAGGCACTATGACTCAGTGAATACGACTCTGAAGATAATACAGGTATTCAGTGTTTGACAACGCTTTTACCAGCAACACCTGATATAATTTGTACCCACCGAGAGAAATCAAAAGACAGAGTCAAGAGGAGATCGGGAGAGTGTATTTGGCGATTACCAATATATCGGAATTTTCTGATCTAATCTGGCTAGCGATGGCGGTAGATGTTGAGCACAGCGTTACCACACGTGATCTGGTGCGGATGCATGACCGAGCGCCTTCAGTCAGATAAGTCCACTAAAACATATGGTCAGCATCCAATGTTGAAAACTTACAGGGCTATTTATTTTAGGGATTTATTAACCGCTACAACTACATTTAAGTGAATCGGAAACAAAGTATATATAAAGGTCCTTCTGACAAGAAAAGTTTACAATCGTATAGTTATGCAAAGAGATGATTGGTCGATCATTCCAACTTTTAATGCGTAGGAGAATCCACTAAAAGGAGAGAAGATATTTTATTCATAAAAATCTGTGGAGTTCCATATCGTAGTCGATAGTAAAGTTAACCTTTCTAAGTCATTTCAAAGTAATTTCTGATAATGAAGTTGATGCAGAAAGTACGTAAGTAAAACACTCTGGGTGTTATCTCACAGTAATTTGTTAGTAGACTTTATTTTAATGCTTTCATCTTCCTTAGGGTCTACGAAGGGATTATATTCCTCACTATTTAAGACTTCTCTTTCTCTTCTCAGTGAAATAAAAGGGACTATCACTCTCTTATGTTTTTAGGGAAGTTTAAAAGCTTGAATAACTGCTCATTAGCTCGATGAGCTAATGCTTATCAATGTGGTCAGGCGTATCTTCGTGAATATAGGACTCGCTACTGTAATTAACTGCAGCGTTAGAGCTGCGTTAACCCCTCTTGTCTTACCTCACATTGATCTTGAGGCAATAGCTTGATAAAACTCAATGCCATGAGGTTTCAGATTAATGGTTCAAAAACTTGTACGTACTAAGACGATTATTACAACAACCTCGAAATAAATAAGCTAATCAAAATACACACAGCCTCAATGGGATATAAAATTAGGCCACAAAATCCTGTTTTCAATGATGGTATGGATACCTTGAGAAAGGCATGAGGGACTGGTTCATGTGCAATTTTAGAGTTCTGTGCCCTGCTATCTATAGTGTGGTTCAAGAAATCAAACCTCCTTACTCTGTTTTCCCTCAGACCTAGAAGTGGTCCAACTTGGCTTTTGACCTCACATTAGGCTCAGGACAGTTTATAGTACATGAAAAGTGTGTTTATAAGATTTAAAGGAAAGCAAAAGAGCTCAATGAAAAGGAAACAACATAGACTGTTCATCTTCCATCTTTGATACATAAATATGAATCGGAAACTTGGTACATGTGTAGCGTGGCGTCGAGTCGGGATTGACTATGTACACCGCTACCAAGAAGCTCGTTCCAAATGACTCCATAAAAATCCCTAGAAGCCAAATATCAGAAGGCAGAAAATGGACCAAGTCAAGATTTATTCACTGGCGATCTCGTGGTATCGAAAGGATACCGAGATCGTGCCAGGATACAAGCTTGGTTACAGAAGGTAACCGAATTCGCGCGAAATTACAATCGAAGTGTGTGAACAAGAAGGGAAGCCCAATATAGCTGTCATTAGCACAGTCAAACAAAAGCACTTTAAAACAAACACTGGTACAACTGTTTATAATAATAATTGTTTTTATTGAATCAGTCGTGTTCTCGTGACAAATGTAAGTCACTACACATGTTTGAGAGGGAATCGTACCAGTTCCACATAAGAAGACCTGAAATAAACTCATAAAGTGAGATGACTATTACGTCCCACACTTCCAATCATGCTGATATTAAAAGTTTTGTTGAATATAACCATTGTTTAAGTACAATATTAAGACTCCAAACGTTTGACCTTCAGCCAGCTGGTTCATTCTCCGATAGTCGGCACGATTTATGGACGAACCAATGGAATTAAGTATAGCGTGTCTTGGACTTAGGCGCGAATTTTATTCAACCGTATAATTAACATTTTGAAACTATATCTGATGTCAGTTCTTGATGAAAATCTTCAGTTTTATTCGTAACCTTGAATTATGGTTCTGTTTCTTCATTATCTAGTTTCTTATTATAATATATAGCCCTCTTTCGATCCTCATAAGTATGCTTATTTTCTCAAGGTTACTAGCGTCTCTAAAAGGTTTATAAATTACAGTCCCATCCTCAGTGTGACAACGAATGAAGAATCCTCACCATTTTTTCACGGTAGACGTCAAAGTCGATTTTTGCGCGCTCCCACTCCTTGGTTTGCTAGGGTTTTTAGTCAATGAACCATTTGGACATTCAAATGGTTGTTGACGGAATAGAAGAAGCTTTCGCTTAACAGGCTTCCGTGTCTAGTAGCAGGGGATCACCAGATTCTCCAGACAGGAACCTAGGTATGTTAACAATAAAACAGGAAAGGAAATTGATAAATCATAGTGCGATACTATCCTTAGTCCTTAAGAATAGATCAAGTCTTCAGTAATAAGGATAGTAGGTTGATGAACCTGTGTTAATCCTGACACATTGCTTTCCAGTGAAGGTCCAGCTTTTCCTTGAAAGTATTCACTGATGGGGCTGATACCACTTGTTCAGGTAAGGCGTTCCAATCATTGACTACTCGATGAGAAAAACGGGATCCCACTTTAAGTTTATTAGATCGTGGTTTATGAACCTTCTTGCTATGACCTCGGAGATTAATAGTGCTGGAGGGAGCAAAAAGATAAGATATATTAACACCCAAATCATAATTAAAGATACGAAATGCCAGTATAAGGTCACCTCGTGTCCTACGATACGACAAGGGGAAAAGATTTAGGCGTTTTAAACGCTCATCGTAAGGGAGTCTAGAAAGACCCTTCACTAATTTCGTTCCCACACGCTGGACACGCTCGAGGGAGTTAGTATCCTTTACCAGACACGGGCTAGCTGCTTGGATACAGTATTCTAAATGTGGTCTAACATATATGGGATATAAAATTCTAAACATTTCCTCGTCAAAAGATTTGAACGCTCGGCGAAGTGACCATAACGCACGAAAACATTTGACAGTGGCTCTTAAAGGACTCCTGGGAAGTCGTTAGGCCGTCAGCGAATTCCAGCATTTGACAACTCTTAAGGAGTAGAAGTTGTGTCTGCATTCCGTCCTGCTATGTTGTGTCTCCAGTTTTTGGGTGTTACCCCTTAGTTAAGTGTTGGAACTAAGCCTGAGTAGGTGTTTGAGAGGATGTCTAGATGTGTTAAGGATACTATAAGCCATCAGAAGGTCACCTCTAAGACGTCTATACTCTAATGGGTAAAGGTTAAGTGAATGGAGGCGCTCTTCGTAAGGTTTAAATTTGAGTCCTCGAACTGATTTCGTGGCTCGTCGTTGAATACGCTCCAGGGTGTCCTTATCCTTATGGAGTGAGGGGGGAAGTACTATGTTTCCGTACTCTAAATGGGGACAGATAAAACTATTGAAGATTATATGGAAAGTTCTTCCGTCAAACTGGCCAAAAATTGTTTAGTTGCTATTGATAGACAGCTTCTTAGTGAATAGCGAACGTACGTATGCATTAGTGGGGTTTTCGTCATGAACTTACATCAACTGGAATTATTTTTTTCGCCGAAACTTGTTTTGTTCGTCCAGATACTTCATATTTAGCTTATAATGTACTGGCTTTCCATATATATATATATATACTCCTAGCACCACACGATAATTTGATAGGTTGTGTATCTACTTTCATTCGAAGTCTTTGTAGCGATGGTAATGACTTCCCTGGCTTTTTTAAAACCAGTTTTCGCTGGTCCTAGTTTTATATTCTTGAAGTGAGTTTTAGAAACTTGAAACATAGACTCGTTAGACAGGTTGGAAAGTCCAGTAACCAACTATTTGAGAACGCTTTATAATATTAAGGTCTTTAGAGATACGTTGGCTAGCTGCTCGCCTGCAACACTTGTTGATGTCACACATATTCGGGGCTTAAAATTACGAAATCGAAGTGACCTCAACATTCAACTTCTTAGCTGCAGCAGAGTAGTGTATATTTGTTTCCAGGTCATGCATTAGTTATTCACGAGTATTACACTTCGACATCATGATAATAATTCATTAACGATGAACTGCTGTTCGTTGTGCATTACTGAAATCTTGATATGATTATTTTAATCTGTCAACTATTGGTCTATCCATTCATCTAAATCACCTTAAAGCTTAAACTCACTTAGATTGCCATTTATTTTTTTAAAACCTTTACATTACCTAGGAACACGAATGTAGACTCAATAAATTTATTAATTCGTGGACATAGAGTAAAAGTAACAGACCTAAAGTCGCACCTTACGGTACATCACATTTCACAGACTTCCATCCAGACTCCCTCGCTTACTTTTTTGTTTTTTGACCACTTAAATTTCATTATGCCTGTGGAACATCTTTTATTTCGAAGCAAAAGTGTTTGGGTATAATTTTAGTGATGCTATGCAAGTAGTCAGAACTTTAGTGTACACTTTGATAAAATAATTCAGTAAGCTCTTCGCTTTTGGTTTGGCCTGACGAAACTATATACTTTATGTTTTTCCAGTTAATTCACGTTTATTTTGGAATTGGAGCTGTTAGTATGTACCTTCATGTTTTCAAACACCGGAAAGATAGTTTGAATTTTCTTGCTTTTCAGATATCGTATCACTATGTCATTATTAGCAACTGGATCGCTCATAGTTTTCGGACTGTTTTTTATATTTAAGGGCTTGCGCAGGCACTTTCGTTTCGAAGTAAGTTTTTTGTTGGTAGCAATTTTTTATTGATAGATCGATAAAAGCTCAGGACACTATGGGGGCGAGCTGGTTGCAGATGTCCTGAAGGTAACATAACACTATTGATATATTTGTAGGCTCATAATGTACCATTTATTTTTACGCTTACTGGAGGCCACATATCACCGATATTGGTTGCTTCAGAAAAAGAAAATATACGTGTGATAGATGTAAGAAACGAAGCTTCTGCTGTCTTTGCTGCTGATGCTGTTTCAAGACTTTCTGGTTCCGTTGGTGTGGCTGTTGTTACAGCAGGTAAAATTTTGTTCAAATCCCATTTCCTTTCGCTTCTTTACTGCTTAGAACAGCACTCGAATTACACTAACATGCAGCGATCTGGCAGCACATATCTCTTTGCACTTGAGTTTTGTGTTTTTTTAGAAATTATTTAAATAAGCACGGAAAATAGCTTTAATAAATTTGCACATAATTTTCAAAGCCACAGTAGGCAGTCGAAATTATTACTTATAATCTGTTTCAGGCAGACACACTTGCAGCGAGCTGGGGAAAAACAGAACTTACTCTACTTATTCTGAAATTTTACCAGTCACTAACCCACTCAACTCAGGGAGACTATAAATATAAGTGATATCGTCAACATGTCTGACTAGCTAACCCTTCAGTGTAAGGATGCACTCATGAAAAACAGCCTTTAAACAACGTTTGACGCCTGTAAAATGAAAATTCCGTCCCGGACTCCGTCATCATCGAATTTTTTAATGAATTCACCAAACACAACTATTTTGTCTCTAAAGTTTATATGAGAAATGAGTATCATGATCGATTAATCGCCAATAACTCAAAACTATCTTTGACAAGACCGAACGAAGTTAGCCTCTCCAATATAAAACACTTAGTGTATTCGATCCCAATTGCACTTTCCCACTAGCTGTCATTTGATCACTTGTGTTTAAGTAAGAAGCCTCAAGTTAGTTGAAATAATTCCTTGATACAAGAGTTAATGATTATTATAAAGTGTCTTTTAGTTCAGGAAGTATTTGATTTACATTTTCTCGGTGAGGTTTTAAGTATGCATGGTTTTATCAAATTTTCTATTTCTGAGCAGCAAATGACTACAGAAGCTAATAGATTTCTCTATCCTAGTCATACTGATCAATTTGCGGTTATCACAAGTGAATGTACTTTCTCTACACTGGGACGATCAGCTACCTCAATCAACCACCATCAGTCATCTTTAAAAATTCCCTCAATTAAATCAACTGAACGTTCTGGTAAAAAACCTTTATAGCTAGTGTTTGTCATTGGCCTTTTGCAAGGTACCCAATGTACTTGGAGATGTAGGGTATGAGGTGTAAATTGTTTACTCCAATCATCAAACTATTCAGTATGTTGCTCAGTAGTTTAGGTTTTCAATTAATTTCTCAGTGTCTACTCCAGTTTAGTTTTCTCAGTCTTAGTTCATGAGTAACCTTAATACCATAAGTACGATTTTTAGTACGAATGTGTAAAGTGGCTAACATTTGTGCTATCACAGTTATAGAAAATTGACGACCTAACAGGTTCATGTTAAGTAATCAATGATCTGACCTCTTGAATTTCATTGATTGGTTCACAAACTATAACTTCGTTCCATCTACATTACTTTTGAGAGTTTAGTAATGTTTCCAACTCTTACACAGTATTTGTGCCTCCAAGCCAAGTACACAAGTCTGCAATCGATTACCTAGTTACATGTCTTCTAAGCAGTAGGATAGCTTTGTGTAAATTTTGAGTATAGAAAGTGTGTTCTATGCAGTTTCGCTTCCATATCTAGACATCTAGCACCAACAAAGAAGTACTTTTAGATTTTAATTCACCAAGTCATACATTTATGATTCTCTTTGTAGTAAAGTTGGTCTAGTAAAATGTTCAACTTTTCCTCATCTAACTCATAGGTCCTGGTCTTACTAATACGGTGACGGCAGTAAAGAATGCTCAGATGGCTGAATCTCCTGTAATCCTTCTAGCTGGAGCTGCTTCTGGACTTTTACGTGGTCGTGGATCACTTCAAGATATCGACCAGCTTGCTGTGTTCCGCCCAATTTGTAAATGGTGCAGACGTATAGATTACGTCAGAGAGATTATCCCTGTTCTTTGTGAAGCATTTTATATTGCACAATCGGATACTCCCGGTAAATTTATCAATTCCCAGTGGTTAATACATTTAGTAACATAATTACTGTTCATCGCAAATATTTTGGCTGTAGATGACGAGAGATGATTTTTTTATTGCATCTGTTATGATTGTCGGTCCAATTCTATCGAATTAGAAAAGGTTCTTTGGTTTTCCTGGAACTAATTAAACTTGATGCTGTTTATAAAGTTTCAGGCAGTAAGATTATTGCTAGATATAAAACTAAGTTGGGAGTTAAATTACAGGATGATTCACAAATTACCCATTATGGTCACTATTATAATCCAGTAGGATATAAATCTACATATGCGTATTGCTTGTCAGATAACTTAATTAAATTTCATTTTGAGAAGATACCAGGCTTTTTTGGTGCTATTATATTGAACACAACTTTTCAACTTCATCATCTAAGTCTTATGATGCAGCTACTTTCATACCCAATCAGAAAACGCTGTTCTCATTGCAACACTAAGCACCGGTATTTCTGTGACTAAACAGATGTCTTTAAGGTATAGTGCTGATTGGCACAAGCTTCTCTTGCTCCCGCTAAACGTACAATGATCTTATTTGCCTGACTATTATCAGCACCTTCGTCTACTCAGGTATACTAACGTCTTTATTTTTTCTCGTCACTTTGAGCCCTAGCTACCATGAAATTGCACGTTGCTTCACTGTTTTAAGGGTCAAACTTCCAAGTTAATGACTAAAGGGTAGTTTCCTGAGATTACTTGTTTTGGTTTAACCTCCGAACAGTATTTTACCTTTCATACAGGGTATTATTGGAAGAAATTGCTTTACAGGCTATAAAATCTATAACTATTTTATCATAAATAAATTGATTTTATATTAACTTAAATCTGCACAAAATATATATACATGATACCAGTTAAAATCACACTGACATTTACATTTCTAGTCGCCTTATAGTGATTTAAGGTTTATGATTTTCAAAAATATCATTCAAATTACTTGTAAAGTTTCTGAAAACTGCTCAGTCAGTCAGCCAGTCAGCTACAACGTAGGACCAGGCACATATACGCACCGGTCCAAGTTGCCATACCTCATTAACACAACAAGATGGACACCGGATTCATAAAAGTAGCTAATTCAGAGGTGGTAATATATAAAAGAAAGATTGCAATAAGGATATAGTACAGGAAGAAAGAATTAGTTCATAGAAAGATATGAAGCGATTTTAATCTCTTAGTTTAAGGGACGACAAAGAGTGTATACACCGACGCCATTGTGATCGATTCTGAGCGATGTCACCAAGAGTCTCCAACCATTGGTTACGATAGTCATGCGGACCCCAACCAAGTAGTCTGCATCTTCCAGCATGGCTCAGGCTAGAAGTTAGTGACTTCAAGCACTGATGCCACGTTTTGGTTTAGCCGCGCCTAATTCTCTTCCAACCATCTCTAACACCCGTTAGCATTACACGTCGTGGTAATTGGTGTTCAGGCATACGTAACACGTGGCCCAACCATCTCAGTCGATGAAGATTCACAACCTCATCAACTGATTTACCATCATTCCCTAATAACTTGAGTCTAACCTCACTATTACTTAGCAGATGATGCCAGCAATATTTCTAAGGCATCTGTGGTCAAATACTAGTAGTTTACGAGTATCTTCTACTCTTAATGGCCATATTTCGCTGCCGTAAATTAAAACAGAACGGTCTGCCGTGCAGTATACTCATCCTTTTGTTGATAGACAGATATCTCGCCTGCTCAGCTTGAATAACATTACAGTTTTAACTTTCAAACGGCTTTCTCACTGGTAGACAATTCATGCCTTAATTTTAAGATCTGTTATTAAGTTTCGAATTCGCGAAAATGTATTAGCTTTTATGCATATATGTAGCGGGAGCGACTACATTAAACTAATCATATATTCTGCAGACCAAGTCGTATTTGTTTTTGCTTAAATCTGCCTTATGAACTAATCGTATGGAATTTCTTACTAATTTTCGCGATATGTTTTTGGTAATAGTATCTTTTTTTTTCAAATTATTTAGGACCAGTTTTAGTTGAGTTTCCGATCGATCTGTTATATCCATATAAATTGGTTGAACAGCATACTAAATTGTCTGACAAAACAAATTCTTTAAGGCAGAAAATTGTAAATTGGTAAGTACATTTAATTACACTTTTTCTGCATAGTTCGAGTGTGTTTATTTGTCTAGATTAGTAATATTCTCATACTCAGCAGACTTACAACTTTTGCTTTCTGTGCATTCAGTTAGTCCACTGCATGATTTTAAATAAAGCAAGAATAAAATTGAGAAATATATACATAAAGGGATTTAGTAGGCATTCTTTTAGAGTTATGGGTGTTATTCGTCATGGATTGATCTCAATCGGTGTACGACTTGAAGCGTGTTTCGTTCTTAGATGGAAGTCAGTTAAGTACCCCCGCAGAAGACCAAACAGTGGATTTTGTTACATATGTTCGAGTTACATATTAGCTATTTAAGAAATACTTTGGGAAGAAATCTATAGTCATCACAGTTAAAAAATAAAATGTTTATACATGTCCAAAAAAGTAATTGAAAGTTGGTATTATAATGTGATGATAAGCAACATTTTAAAATAGTTTCGTTATGTATTGAAACGAAGGAAGATTGATACTTAGTACCACCGATCGAATGCTGTGGCGCAATCAACTGCCCAGTTATCACCAGTTCCAACTGTTTAATAAACCAGGGTTCTCAGCTTCAATCATAAACCCCGTCAATAAATGCCACTTCAAGTAGATCTTTGACATTGTTAGTGCTCATTAAATATTCCCACTGAGAAACTACAAAGACAAGTTGAGCGAAGAAAATTTTTTTCAATTATTTCTTCATCAACCCTCTGCAATAATATACATGCTCTATAAATGAGTAGAAAGTCGAGACCAATTAGATAGGGATGAGTAAATTTAACAAAATAATAATCAGTTAGTCACATAACGTTTGGAAAACAAGATTCATATTAAAACTAAAGTGAATACTCATTGTCAGTTAATTACTACAAATAGTTACATAATGAAATGTGGATGTAAATATAAATGTTCTTTGTTATCAACGAACCTGATGATAAATAATTAGGATGGGTGCAGTGAAAATTGTTGGTGCTTACTCCTAATGATTTCCGATAGTTGAGAATAAAAATATCTCCATTTATTCCTTAGTACCTATCAACACTGTCGTGTGCTATAACTAAGATACTTTTTTTAAGAATTGATGAAGAAAGTTTGCAGCTCACGTGAGTAGTTTTTGGTGTTGTTGAGCTCTCTGAAGTATATAGCTTAGTTGTTAAACTTTCATTGTTATTCTGGACAGCATCACCAAGTCTCAATTCTACATAAATTAAGCACTGATAATCTCTAGAACAACAATAAAAGCTTCGCAACTAAGTCATGTAGTTCAAAAAGCTTAACAACATCAAAGTACTTTTCTTCAAGACTGGCTAACCTGTCCATAGTCAATTAACTATTGCTTTGTGTCTAGTATAGGCTACAAAAGTAATTGATGCGTAAGAGATAGCTCATAAAGATAAATATATGGAAAATACCATGAAATAACAGGGTGATAACCACTCATTAATGTATTCAATTTAATTTGCCAAAAAATAAGTACCCTATTTTCTTTTTAATCTTTCTGCACCTATTTCTAAAAGATCTAGTGCTATACAGCTTACACTTGTCTGTCACTCTTTTTTATACCATTCCGTTTTTTTCAGGTATCTACGTTTCTATCTTTTCAATTTATTCGCCAATGGTTTCTCATCGAAATCACATCCATCCAAAACAAACGGTTTAGATGGAATTGTTGTCAAATCACCGAAAATTCCGCTTCCATCTAAAAGACAAGTGAAGAAATTAGCCCAGCTGATAAAACTCTCTGAAAAGCCAATCTTACTTATTAGTAGTCAAGCTGTTTTACCTCCGATTTCAGCTGAAGAGACAGCTGTTCATGTTCAAGTAAATTTATCTAACTTCAGCATTTGCTTATTTTAAGTTTATGTATAAGTTTTAAACACCCTTTTTCGAATACCATATTGTACACACTGTATCCGGTATTTGGATATCTTAACAAACAGTAGGTTCCTGAGGGTTGTTGACGTTTTTGTATTGTAATGGCTATAGCATGTTTTGTTTTCTATCAACCGAATTATCCTCTCATTCTTGGAAACTTAACTATGGTGGATGCTAAATCAAAGAACCTTCAAAAAATTCATACCGCACCATGAACATGCTTAAGCAGACTGTTTGATGTGCTGACTTCATCCGTTTATGCCCCTTCAATGGAGTCACTGGCAATATCATTCATTAATTAAGACTTTAAATATCATAGTCTTTACACTTCATTAAGACCAATCAATCTTTAACAAAAAATTATAAGTTTTGTTTTTGTGGAGTGGGGGGGGGCTAAGCAGTAATGCACTTAGCTTTCAACGTTTAGGTTGTCGATTTCTAATCCCTCTTCATTCACTCTGGCTTAGGAAATTGATTAGTATTACCAGCTTTCGAACAACAAGCGTGGCTCCTTTGCTATTTGGCACACGTCTCATCTTTGGAGTTGGTTCTGTCATCCGCCACGTGTATACAGTGAGTAGGGCTTCCCTATCAATCTAAGTACTTGCTCATCAATGATTGCAGCTACCCAAACGACTTAATTATAGTATCACAAATACTGTAAAGAAGAAATACGTTTTCATACGTATTTCTGTGTGTAGATTTTGTGTACCTTACTTTGTTAATTTTTTTATTAACTTCTTAATCTCACCAATTTAACTGCTTTGGTGATTTCTACCTTAAACACCGTTATGGTCATAAGTTAATTGATTTTTAAGAATCTAATCATTGTTTACATGTTCAGGTCATAACACGTTATTGTCATGTAACTAATACACAATTATCTATAACTATTGAGTGATCAGTAGCGAACATTCTGAGATCGAAATTAATGTCTTTTGTGATTGTTTCTATTCATTACTTCGTCCATTTTTTTTATACCTTTCAGTTGCATTTGACATTCAAAAATAAAAGTTATCAATAACACATTTTTGTTTGAAGGGATAGGCATTGGGTTCGAGTTTCGGTATGTGAACATCAACACTGAGATGCAGGTATATATCTACCAGACGAGTTTCAAATAAATTGAAACGCGCTTTATAGATTTCACTACCTGTTATAATTCAACTTTACTAAAACTAGTGACGGAATAACAATAACGAGGCAATCTGGTCAAGGTAGACTTTACCAATAACCGGAAAATACGGACCCACTTAAATATGAACGATTTTGTTTGTTCGTAGCCCCAATCACATTGAAAGATGCTTTATCTGCTCTTATATAATCTATGTATCTTATCTAATATGATTAGTGCAATTTGTTACCATCTTTGTGTGACTACGTACGTTTTTTTCATTCCGTGTAATTTTTATCGACAAATTCATCAGCACGATTTTTCTCAACCTTAGTCGTTTCTTTTTAGACCTTGGGGATACCTACTTACATGTCAGGTATGGCTCGCGGTCTTCTTGGTCGAGATCACCAACTTGGATTTCGTCATGCCCGTCGTACTGCACTTCGTGAAGCTGATCTAATTATTCTCGCAGGTATTTATTGTTTTGAATTTTAATATTATCACTAATCTACATTTTTTGTATTCATTGTTTGGCATTAATTATTGAATTGAGTTACTATGAATGTTTGTTTATTGGTTGCTTCGTGGATATCTTATGTTATGTCGTCGAATTAATTACCTTGGAACAAGGATGTTAGGATCGTTTGTATGACGTATAGTTCTCAGTGACTTTCTAAATGGTAGGCAGAGTGCGTCTAGGTATATTACATTCTTTTAATCAAATACCATCTCAAATTCAAATAGTAGGTGGTGATAAACTGTAATCAAGAAATCCGATGATTCTCCTAGTCATAACTTTGACTTACATGTCTTTCACCGGGCTAGAAGAACAAAAGCATGTGTACCAATGATTTGTGTACCTATTTATTTGTTTGGCCAATTAAATCTCCCTAATGGTTTCTCAATCGGTAGTTAAACAAGCGTATACAAAGCATTTTTATCTGAATTAAACGCCGCAAAATGCAACATTGAATTGATTCTACTGGCAGTATTCCTATTGATTCATATATTTTTAACTTACATTGAATATATATATATATATATATATATATATATATATATATATGTCAGTCAGTAACAACGTAGAACTTAGTACGCACGTACATCAGTTCAAGTTGCCATACCACATTAGCACAGAGATGCAGTGGTCGATTCAAATCCCATAGTGGTAGAGGTAGCAAGAGTATAAGCAGTAATCGGGAAGATTAGGGTTTGGAGATGTTATTTAACGAGTATAATTCAGTGAAATAAATTTGGAAAGAGGAAAAAAAGGGACATGAAGAATTTAGAAGATTAGAATTTGGGAGAACATAGAGAGTGGATGCACCTGCGCCATTGCAAACGATTTTGAGCCATGTCATTCAGGGTCTCTAACCATCGGTTGCTATCATCTCGCGGTCCCCAACCAGGTAGTCTACACCTACCAACATGACTCAGTCCACTTGTCAGTGACTTCATGGATTTGTGCCAAGTTTTGGTTTGGCCGCCCCTAGCTTTCTTCCAACCTACTCCTATACCACTGAATATAGCACGTCGAGGTAGTCGGTGGTTGGGCATACGTAACACGTTCCCCAGCCATCTCAACTGATGAAGTTTCACTACTTCATCAATTGATTTGCCATCCTTACCGAGGACCCGTTTCCTAACAGCTGCGTTACTTACTCGGTGGTCCCAGGATATACGAGCAATACTTCGAAGACACCTATGATCAAATACTAGTAACCTACCAATATCCTCTACTCTTACCGGCCATGTTTCACTGCCATAAAGTAGGACGGGACGAACTGCTGCACAGTAAACACGTCATTTGGTTGGTGGACGGATATCTCGCCTACGCCATAAATGGCGCAAGTTGGCAAAAGCTAGTCGAGCCTTCTGTATCCATGCTGAGATTTCGTCACACACCAAACCACAAGGGCTGATGAGACTTCCAAGATAAGTGAAGCGGTCGACACACTCAACTACTTCACTCCCTATCACTAGTTCGGGTGTCGATGTAACCCAATCCTGAAGCAACATTTTGCATTTCGAGGGAGAGAATCGCATCCCGAACATGCTTGCATTGTTGATATATATATATAAACATTAACTACAAAAACTGATACACTTGTTAATTTATTTATCTGATTAGCTTTCTAAATTTAAATGCTACTGTTCCCAATGATAAACGATTTCTCTTTTAATTGTCCTATCAAATATTTGCCGCCATCACATACATTTTCTTGTTAAGTTTCTTTTAATTTTATAAAGTATTCTATCCATTTCTTCTTTTCAATCTATTGTGTTTTCTTTTTGTTGTTTGTTTCAAAGGTGCCATTTGTGATTTTCGTTTAGATTATGGTCGTGTGTTAAATCGAAAAGCGAAAATTGTTGTAATTAATCGAAATAAGAAGAACTTATATCTTGTAAATTTATTGTTTCTTTTTTTTTGGTAATATTTTTGACAATAAAGTTATATTTCTTTTATTATAACACAGTAGTGTTTGGAATCCTTTACAATTTTTACTACACTGCTCATTTCCTGACTTTTCGAATAGTGAGTTTGTATTATTCAACAAAGATTGGTCAGAATTCAAACCCCTTACTGTTAATGATAGGAGTACCATACCAATCAAACACGTTTGTGTAGCTATCTGGACCCACTGAATTACAATGGGTAATGCGTTGGGTATCCGAAACAAAACCTATTGTGTCCAAGTTTCCATGTAAATATCAACACACTTGGATGAAGCTACATCCAGTTGAAGAACCTTGGATTCCACTGATAACCATTTTACATCTATTATGGAAAAAATTTCTACTGTAGATCTATTCTAAATATAGCTATTAATGTCTGTCAAGTGCCTTATGCAAAGCTTGATACCCGTCATTATGTCAAGTAACATTAACGAAAACACTACATTTGTTAGTGTCACTAGTTTTCGACAAAACAAGGTATCATTAAATACTTTTCAAAATACTATTATGTACCGTCTATTGATTCAACAATGTGGTGTATATAGGCACAACTGACCTTAAAGGTTTTCAGTTGAAGATGAATGTCTATTAAAAGCATTATTGATCTTTTCTATATAAGTTCACATGATTCTTTGCGATAATTTCATCCATGAAACTTCCTACTTCATGAAATATTAGCTCTGATCAGCTTTTCGTACATGAACTAGAAAATTTCCGCTTATCTCGATCATGATTCCTTTAAAACGTTTTATAGGACAGAGTTTAATAGTAACTAATTAATTGTACAAGTTGTTAGTTTACAGTCTAATGAATACTCACTTACCAGGTAGAAATTCGTGTACATGTCTTCAAACTGCAATATAAATGTAAGAGATACTACTCAGGCCTCTAAAGTGAAGTAAATTTAGAGAGTTCAAATGTACGAATTATTGGTGGAAACTCAAACACCTTAATCATTGAGCCTCTGCTCCACACTTCAGTACTAGTGTCTAAACGACGCTTGTATTAGACAACGAGTGTAATAAGTCTGCCTTTATATATTAGCAGCAGGTAAAATGACATAAATAAATAATTCTGTTTTCTCTTCTTCATTTAATGTTCGTCTTTATTTTTCAATATTTAAATATAGAATGCTGACTATTTTTGGAGACCATATCTAACAATTCAAGCTGATGTTGGGACAACCCTAAGAGATTTATCATTTGAACTACAAAATTCTACTAATGAACTAAATTGTTCCACTGAATGGTTAAATATTTTAAAATCACGTGAAACGAAACAAGATGAAGAGATTAAGTAGGTTATTCTCATTGTTTATTCTTGTAAGAAATGTATAGTTAATTCAACGAATGAGTTTTCATTCTTTAATTGATGTAGATTAACAATATTTATAGATTAACCCTAATCTTGAGGAATTAAGAAGGGTTTGAACTGTATGGCTTCTTTTCTGATCACTTAAAACTGTTAATTCTAAAAATTCATTACAATAATTTTCTTGGTTATGATAACAGGATGACGAGATGTTTGTAAATAATAATTGTTCACTCAGTAGTATTAACGAACATTGTTTCTCTTTAAATCCTTCAGTTTTGATTGAATTCTGTCTGTCAAACTCTGGACATAGATTAGCAAGAACCATAAGTTCAGAGTGCCTTATCGACTACTTTCAATCATCTAACACAAGGAACTTTTAAAGATCCTTCTAAAAGATCTCCGGTCTTATAAGCAGTTTTGGTTAAAAGAAATTCTGAAGGGTATAAAACATTCATTTGCTATGCAATAGAAGTATTCTGCCTACCCTATTAACTTTAGCCGATGAATTATACAGCTTATTATTTTTAACCAATGGAAACTATCCAGACCAACTGTTACATATTTAAAATTTTAAATCGGTGATTTAGATGACTTTTGTCATTAGAGTTTCATTACATATTTTGTAGTGTCTGTTGATATGTTCAGCACATACAGTTTATTCTAGCCCCTGGACAGGCCGATCTATTGACTCTTCTTGAGTCACGTTTTGACCTTAATAATTATTCACTTGACAACCTTGACTGTTTTTATGTGATCGTGTGTGTACAGCTTATACTATTCATCACACGTCTGTGGCTTATTTTTGCGTCACTATACATATCGATTAACGCTTGGTTAAAAGGAGTTGACTCACATGCCTTCTTCACCGCTCATTTCGCTTCGCTTCGTCCCTATAATCGTCTGTCTGAATTAATGATTGCATAATATGTACGTATTCGAAATCCGTTCTCGTATCTGACATTTTTAAATTCCATTATTCACTAACGCGAGTTAAGTCGATAATTATATACGAGGATAGGCGATATATATATTTCGATAGCGATCAACATATGATCTAATTGGAGTCAGATATCGATCCACTAATGTGGTGAGCCTGTCGGTAACATCGTCCGATTCTATCAACGTCTAAATAATGGACCACAACTTTTTTGGCTATTGTACTTCCATAAATTCATATTCTTAATCGGTTCATGAAAAAATCCCATTGTTGAATTTCATTAATCAAGTTAGCTGATCATATTTTCATGTACATCAGGTTTAATACATTCGAAAAAATTTCAAAAATTCGTATATTCCAGTCGAAAATCCCGTCATTTAGAAAAAAACTTCAGTCATATTGTTGATTTGAATGGTTTTAACATTCTGTTTCTTTGTTCTAAACTTCAAGATAATCAATGGTAATCTCAGTATTCATCATATCTTTTATGTTTTCCTTTCAGACTAAGCTGTCAAGTAGAAGGTATTGAGCATAACAATCCACTTTCCGTTCTCTGGAAGTTAGAACATTATGGTCTACCAACTGATTCTTCCGAAGATAGTATTATTATTGCTGATGGTGGAGATTTTGTAGGATCGGCAGCATATATTGTACGTCCAAGACAACCGTTATCTTGGTTAGATCCAGGACCATTTGGAACGTTAGGTGTTGGTGGAGGATTCGCATTAGGTGCTAAACTATGCCGCCCAAATGTAAGTTTCTACAAATTATTTATTACGGAGTATATATAGACGAAACAAATTAGATAATTTGGGTTTAAACACATTTTTAGAGTTTTACTGAGTTATAAGATTATTTCTTTCAGCTTTAGAATAAAATTCATTTTTTTTTATTTTTATTCTTACGGATTTTATTTCTCTGATTAGCGGGTAAGTTCAGCATATTGTAGAGATTTTAATTAACCAACTTAAATGATCATCTTTTAAAAGAATATTTATGCTTTCTCTTCAATAACTATTTCTAGAAGTTTCAATAGAAATCGCAGATATTCCATACAACTTTCAACGATAAATCTATTCCTTCTTGTTGATGATGTTGGTTTCTTTCTTCTTCTTTTTTTTGTTTTTCGGTTAAGCATTTCAGTTTTACAGCATGATAACTTGAAATTTCTGATGTTTAACTGTCCACTACTTGAGTTAAGTTGCTTGTAAGAAGTTGATCATTATGATTATAAACATTTGAAAATACTTTATATACGACAGAATCGGAAAATTCCGGTAATCATATGCTTCGATAACTATATCCCAAACACAAACAATGAAAAAGACGATAATGATTGGAAGCGAAATTCCGCTTTAACGTAAACTGATGTATAAAAGTGAGATGTTCATGCTGATTATCTACCAGAAGGGAAATTTTGTTAATTATGACTAGTTGATTCACCATGCCAGGATATAGCAACGATTCTTGATGAAATGTCTACAACTAATAGTATCTGTTACCGTAGTACCCTTCAATAAAAGCGGAGCCGAGAAAGAGCTTTTCAATGGGCCAATATTTATAAAAACAAGCGTTAATATAGGCGAGTCTAATAAGAAAAGGCATTAAAATGGCTCTTCAATAATTTAATAAAATTAACTCCTAATAGATTAACTAAAAAATATGACAACTCAAAAACAAGCTTCAAAAATGTTCTGTGATGAAGTCGTATAGATGTAAATCTAATTTTATAATAGTTTGATGTAGCTAAATGTACGAGGTTAAACTATGTGGTATTCCACGTTAATAGTCTAGTATATGTTTCTACAGTGTACAACTAGTTTAGTGCGCATGTCTACGTTCATGTATTTTCCTTTTTCCATATTGCTTCTGAATTCTTGAAACATCACTTCATTTTTAGTTCATCATGACTGTTTTTTTAGAACATCAATGAATTTTCATGTGCTCAGATTAGCAGTGCTAACGAATGAGTTAAGTGAAGACTCTCCCACCTTCCCATTCCATAGATCTTTTCAAGTAAATCTTCTGCAAGAAAATCTACCACAGCAAAAATTAGAAAATGCTACAAAACAAGCTGAAATGTGATTTAATATATCCTTGTTTCATAATTTAAGGACTCACCAATCACTTTATAATTATGCCCATCTTAATTTTTCCATTTCTATGTTCTAATAAGAACTCAACAGTTTGTAATTCTGTTTTTAAAAGTTGTTCATTGTCAAAAACTCAATTTTTGTTTACTTTTTCCCCATATAGGCTACTGTCTGGGTTATTTATGGTGATGGTTCAGCGGGATATAGTTTAGTTGAATGGGATTCTTTATCACGTCATCATGCTCCTGCTATTGCTGTGATTGGTAATGACGCTTGTTGGTCACAGATTGCACGTGACCAAGTTACGTTTTTCCGGTCCAAAGTTGGATGTCAGTTAAACTACACACCATATGAAGTAGTTGGATCAGCTTACTGTAGAAGTGTTGCTCCTGTATCAGATAATTTCATAACTAATAATAGCAATCCGGTTAATGGTTTTTTAGTTGACAAACCTCAGTTGGAACAAATAGTTCATATATTTGATGAGGCTAAACGACTTTCAAATAAAGGGATACCATCTGTTGTAAATTGTCTTATCTCTGCAAGTAGCTTTCGAGAAGGCAGTTTGTCTGTTTAACACACTGTACCTAGTATTTGTTTTTTGTATATGAATTTTACGTTCATTTTTGACCATGTAAATTTCGCCTTACCATTATATCTATTTACTAATAAATATTTTTTAATAAACATATATCCTCACTAAATAGTCTTTCTGTTCAATACTCTGTAACTGAATATTCTGTGGCATTTTTACTCCAATATATCATCACAATAAACTACAATAAGCTTTCACTACTCTCATTACCAAATCTTTTGCAATTATTGGAGGATAATGCTTAATGTTAGATTTCGATATATATTTGAAACTACTCCCCAGTGTTTGCACTTTCAGCAATTTACTGTGTGTATCAGGACTCCACTGTAACAGCAATGATTTCCATGTACCGAGCTGTCGAGACGATAATTATATTGAGGGATCTCTTGACATTATTTGTTTTGTATTATTAGTTCAGACATACCTGGCCCGACTTTTGTCATAAGGTGTGAACTCTTCAGTCCATCAAGAATGTCTTCAACACTGATGTTTAGATCGTTGGTCTCATTGGACGTTCACTGAATGCTCCCAGTCTAGGGTCCGCACTAGATCACATCTAGATTCGCTGAACTGCGAATCTCCGAAAAGCAAATAGTCACCTTAGCCTATGTACTTCTTGATACAACAACTATCTCCTAAATATATCTTCACATTCCATTCCTGACTTCTAGTATGATTATGTTTGACAATCGGAAAGTCGGTCGCTTATTAAGGTTAAAAGTGTCTGCCTTAACGTGGATTTGCGGAAACCCAATGCAAATCATTAGCGTCAAACACCATAACCTGTTATTTGACTCAAGCAAAGAGAGGTTAGTTAGAAGAAATACCAAGTTATCGAGGACAGAATTTTTCTGTTTTGTGAAATAGCGGTAAACCGATGACTGAGAGTTCATTTTCTCAGACATATCCCAAACCCAGAGGACTGATCACAAGAGACTGAATAGTTTATGATAAATGAAGACCAACATCGACTGTTGAATCTTCGGGCGACCCAACCCATTCGTCTACATTATACTGCTTTGTGCTTCATGTGAAGCTAGGGGAAGCAAACCTAATTCACCAATGAACGTGTGGTGCCTCTGTAGTTCTCACATTCGCTCAAATGTCTTGTCTTTGGTATTTTGGTGAGATATCTTTATTTCCAGTCTGTTAGTGGCATTTGTCACTCCCCCTAAATCTTTCTGAATAGAACGTAGAACATACTTGCAATCACTTCTATGTGTGACTTCAGTGCTTCGGTCGATACATTGTCAGGTCCTACTGATTTAACATTCTCGGTCCGTCTGATGACTATGCTGATTTCCTCGATCGTTATTGGAGTGATACCTATGGGACGTACAAAAGAATGTTGGAAATAAATTCCCACTACGCAGCCCGTATTTCGCCTCTTATAATCGCCCTCACGCGGTTGTTTCTTCTATTCTGAACAGTTGTAAGATTTGATACCTGATGCTATTAATAGGTTTCACCTTTTAGTTGGAGAAAGCCATATGATTCAAAACGTAGTTGCGTATAATGAACACAAGCGAACATTAAACGTTTCAACATGCTTACGAGTTCATGATATACAAAATTTGGGAAAAAACTCAGGACTGTATTATTTATTGTCAAAGAAGGAGTGTCATGTTCAAGATCTTTGCCGGTTAGTTCTCGAAGCACGACTGATTGACATACTCTCAACTTATGACTTAAGTTGTAAGAAAGCCAAATTTCGACTATGATGCCAGACGTTTGCTAGTAAATTACGAGCTGTCAACCCAGATGTTTCTTTTCAATAATAATTGTAACAAATTTCAAAAAGAGGTTTTCAAATTTGAGGTTACTGGGACAAAATCTCCATAATACTGACTAACAACATTATGAGACTGAAATTTTTCAGGCTATAAGCAATGAATAAACAAGAAAAAGGTCCTAGTAAAAAGGATTTTATTCGAAATCTAGCTAACATTATGATATTCACAATAATGATTAACAGTAAATTACATACGTTGGATTCTACTTGGAACAAGGTGATACATCGAGTATTGCGTAAAATTATGCCTACATTCTTTTCTGTGGCGATAGGTGTAATACGTGGTTCACTTCAGTCAGTCAGTCAGCTACAACGCAGGACCAGGCACGTATGTGCATCGGTCCAGGTTGCCATACCGCATCAACACAACAAGATGAACACCGGATTCATAACAGTGGTTAGGTAAAACGTGGTAATATATAAGAGAAAGATTGCATATAGAGATATAGTACAAGCAGAAAGAATTGGTTCGTAGAAAGAAAGATATGAAGCGATTTTAATCTCATAGTTTAAGGGACGACAAAGAGTGTATACACCGACGCCATTGTGATCGATTCTGAGCCATGTCACCAAGAGTCTCCAACCATTGGTTACGATAGTCACGCGGACCTCAACTAAGTAGTCTGTATCTAACAACATGGCTCAGACTAGAAGTTAGTGACTTCAAGCACTGATGCCACGTTTTGGTTTGGCCGCCTTTAACTTTCTTCCAACCATTTCCAATACCGGATAGCATTGCGTGTTGTGGTAATCAGTGTTCAGGTATACTTAACCCGTGGCCCAACCATTTCAGTCGATGAAGATTCACAACCTCATCAACTGATTTACCATCATTCCCTAATACCCTGCGTCTAACCTCACTATTACTTACCCGGTTATCCCAGCAGACGCCAGCAATATTTCTTAGGCATCTGTGGTCCAATACTAATAGCTTACGAGTGTCTTCTACTCTTAATGGCCATGTTTCGCTGCCGTAAATTAAAACAGAACGGACTGCCGCGCAGTATACTCGTCCTTTTATTGATAGACGGATATCTCGCCTTCGCCACAGGTGACGTAAGGTGGCAAAAGTCAAACGAGCTTTTCGAATCCGTGCTGAGATTTCGTCCGATACCAACCCATTGGGGCTGATCAGACTTCCAAGATAAGTGAAGTTGTCAACGCGTTCACTTAGAAAGTACATGATGAATGCTTCAATAATATTTCCCATTAGCATCCTATATTTTCTGGTACCGAGAGGTAGGTGTTTTGTGATACTGCAGTCCAATATTGCACCCACATTTTTGTGCAATCCCACGATAATAAATTGAATCTTGTAACTCACTTCAAATTTCGGAATCATTCTGTATAACGGTGTTCAGAAACCTGTGGTACAAAGTGGTTGTTTATCATGCAGCATAAGTTCTGTGACCACTAACTGGGTCATGTAGCATTTCAGGCATATCAAACAAAACAAAGCAAGTAGCTATTTTTTAAGATATGTTGAGATAGACGTAATTAAATTGAAATTTCTTAACTGATTGAGTAACAACGTAATTCATGTTTGCGTAATGTAAGGTTAACCTAATCTTGTTTACTCAAAGTGGAATATAAATTTTTCCTCCTAAAGCTGCATAGTGATCATTATTTTACATGAAACTTATATTACCTGGTTTTTAGGGTTCATCTGTTTAAGAACAATTACCAGATTACCAGTTACTTATGTTGTTAAGTAGATGACATCCTAACAACTACATGACTTGCGGTTCGACATATTATTCTTCATTCATGTTTGTTTTTGCCTTACTTAGTTTCTGTTTGGTTTTTCAAAAGAAGACAAAAGGTTCAATTAAGTTACATTGGTACTGAGGGTAGATACTTTAGTAATAATTCATTCTCACTGCTGCGTTTACTGACTTATTTTATGGGCTAGAATTGGATGGTAAATAAAACGACCCATACCCCTTTTCTTATCAATAACTGTTTTACCACCTGGATGAAAGTTAGCACAAATAAAAAGCTCATCGATCCCCCCAAACAATCTTTGCAGTTAAAATTTTTCAGTGACAACGTTGGGCTTTGAAGAGAAGTTTGTACACAAGATCGGAAGTTGACCACTCACGAGGATCTTACCGGGCGTCAGTGAGTACGGATTTGCTTTCAATACTTCAAAATGAAATGCGGTCCATCTAAAACATGCTTCAGATAAAAGAATCATGGATAACCCTCATCTGTAGGTGCTGCAAAGTGTAAAAGATCTAAGTGTCTTCGTATCGGATGGTCTACAATATCACATGTAGTGACTCACTTTTATCACGAGAACACGATTGATATATATATATATATATATATATATATATATATATATAATATATTTCTGCATGTGCAGGTGCACACCGTTTTTATAGGCATGATCTATAAATTACAACATTTGTTGGTTCACAAAATGTTTCCCAACTTATTCAGTTTATAGCTGTTATAAAGTGAAATCGTAGAGCGCTTGCTGTAAACTATGACCTTGAGAGGACGCGTACATCAAGTTTCTTTTATTGAAAACAAATATTATTATAACCAATTGTACCAGTGACTGTTCAATGTGCTCTTTGCTTAACTGTGCTAGAAACATCCGTTATACTTATTTTGATTGTGACCTCGAGGCGAATTCGATTACGCTCTGTAACCGAGCTTGTATACTGGCACGATCTCGGTATTCTTTCGATACCACGAGATCACCAGCAAATACATGTCGACTTGGTCTATTAACTGCATTTTGATATTTGGCTTCCGGGGGATTTTATGCATATCCTGGCACGCGTTCCTTGGTAGTGGTTTTCATAGTCAATCGCGATTCAACACCTCGCTACACACATAACTGCGAGAAATCTGCCTTTCAAGCAAATTTCGCGACAGTAATGTTTCGTCTCACCTACGTCAAAATTGATGACCCAGATTTTCAACTTGCTATTGCAGCTCTTCATGTCTAAAAGTTCTTACCTTGAGACATTTGTGATATACGGTTATTAGATAAGGAATCCAGTAAAGCGGTATTTACTGTTATTTCCCCAACAAACATCTGAACCTTATAAACATGTTTTATTCAGTCCTGTTTAGAGCAAAGAAAAATAGTGTTGCTTTGCTCATTGTGAAAAGAGGAAAACCTCTGTAACGTAACGAGTGACAGGCCACAGAATTAGTTCTACAAATTAAACATAGATCGTACGAAAAGAAATCTAAATCACTGGGTTTTTACCCGTTTGAGAATATACATCTTAGATGTGAACTTCCGATAATGTTGGCAACTAAAACACCTTTCAGGGCAAACAAGAAAAAAAGATGGAGACAACTAGTGTAGCAGCAGTCTCTGCATCAGTGGGCCTCTACATACGCGGGGGAAAAAGCAAGATTCTCAAATGCAACACAGAGAACACCAACTCTATCACAATTGATGGAGAAACTCTGAAACAGGTGAAATCTCTTACATGCCTGGTCAACATCATCGATGAATAAGGACGGTCTGATGCAGATGTATAGGCAAGGGTTGGAAAAGCGAGAGTCGCATTACCACAATTGAAAAACATATGCAATTCAAAACAATTGTCTGCAAGACAACATCAAAGTCACAATCTTAAGTGCGAAGCTGAAACTTGGAGAACTACCATGACCATCATCAAGAAGGTACAAGTATTTATAAATAATTGTCTACGCAACATACTTAATGTCAGTTGTCCGGATAATATCAGCAACGGCCAACTGTGAGAGAGAACAAACCAGATTTGTTTTGAGGAGGTTAGAAAGAGACGATGGAAGTGACCACGATGCACAGTGAGGAAACCGTCAAACTGCACCACGAGGCAGGCCCTAGCTTGGAATCCTAAGAGGAAACAAAAAGGAGGAAGGCTAAAGAACACACTGGACCGGTAACGCGATGTAAACATGGAAGGGATGAATAGCACCAGGAAAAGTTTGGAAGGGATTATCCAGACAGATTTGGATGGAGAACGCAAGTTAGCGGCCTATGCTAATTTATGAGTCGTAACAAGCGTGTAGCTGTAGATAAATCTCCAAAATAAATAGCTCTGTAAGTCTTCGACATTGGATGCTGATCACATTAGTTTCAGTGGACTCACCTATCGGAAGGTGCTCGGTCATGTATCCGCACCAGATCATGATGAGGAACGCCGTCCTCGCCATCCTCCGCAATCGCTAGCCAGATTAGATCAGACGATCCTCGGTATATTGATAACCTATCAAATATATCTTCGGACTTACTCGCTCATGTCTTCTGATTTCACTTGGTGGGTACGACTCACATTGGAAGGAGTTACTGGTTAAAACGTCAAACTCCGAATACTTGTAGCATCTCCAGTGTAAACAGGTTAATAAACAATGATATCACCCCCTATGTACTGATATAAGCTCAGTCCAAACACACACGTAAAGGCAATATACAAAAGCTAAGGATAAAATGCAGTAGAACGGACCATAAGTAAACGTTTTTATCTTTACGAATAGTCAAATCAAAGTAATTACCTAGGAGTATTTCAAGAACAAACTTGACATAATTGAAAGGGCTCGGAATGTTATTTCATCCTAAATCACTAATATTTTTCTTTATAACTTTTAAAATACCCAGGTTTCAACCTAGAGGCATCGGTGATCTCCTGATTCGAGATATGGAAGCCCATTAAAAGAAGGTTTCTCCTATTCATTCCATAAACATTTAAACCGTCCAAGCCTGTAGAAAGACCTGAAACGACTGACATGAGAGTAAATTAATTGATCCTGAGGCTTTAAAGATAAAATTTTTATTTTTGAATTTACCTGGACTTACAGAACTGAGTTACCTTATGTACAATAACTATTGTTTAATTCCGCAAACTGACGAATTGTTGTAGGTTGGTTCATTACAAATTTTGTACTTGTTCACGTTATTACGTAAGATATACTGAGTTCACTTTTATATTGGGTATATCTAACTTTTTAAATCTCGGTTAATACAACAACTTGAATTTTTGTAAATTGCGACGTGTGGTGCAATCATATTCTTGTCATGAATGATCCTAGCAACGCACTCAACTGTACTAAAAAAGAGCTCCTAATCAACTAATAATTGCACTTAGATTAGTGCAAAGGGGTGGCTGCTCTCCCTATATTGGTTGACAGCGAACTTTTGGAACCGTATCATAGCGTCAGCGTGCGATGGCAAAGGAATCAATCAAATATTAGCTTGTCACAATGATGGGATACTCGTCGCATATATATGTTACTCACCAGTGTTTTGTAAAAAGCTGCACAGGTTCTTTGCTAATTATTTGTGTCCTGGCATTTTCGTGTCTTTTAGAACCACCAACAGTTACGTTCTCAAATAAAAACCTACAGAGCAATTTAGTTTGGGGATTTATTTACCGCTACAAGGGTTTTAAGAAGACTTGTAGAACTTGTCATTTCATGACTCAAAAATGTGTGCGTTTGATTGAACATATTAGTTTTCCCCAGACTAATGCTGTATCATTTGAAATTAACTGATCTGATTGATTACTATGAAGGATCTTATTGTCTAAATCTTGAATAACCTGATTCATTAGTTCGAAAACACATTTGCAATCCGGTGTTTTATATGAGGCTTTGAAGATACAGAAGCTATTTCATGATATCATCTTATTTATTGTTAATTTACGTTTTTTGTCTGAATAACAGCCAATATGCATTAATACTGATAAAGTTCGTCACATCGAGAACCACCACATTTTATCGTTAGTACTACAGTATTTCGTTTTTTTTATATTTATTATGCTAATTTTACCTCATTATCGTAATGTGCTCTGGCAGATTAAAACAACGCTCATATGCACCAAACCCTCTGTGGATTATGAATGCTTGGACTACACATAAACTTTGAATTCTAAGAAAAATTAATTTATATATAGTTTACGTAGTGTAAAATTTTGCATGTCCTTATATGTCTTGATCATTTTAATATACAACAGGCTTTTTGGGTAAATTCTATGCAAAGACGTATTTTAAACACCATCATTAATAACGGAATTCAATCCTATAGTGCTAACTTATGAATTATTTGATGAAGTTTGCCATCTCATGTGGCCAAACACTTATGAATTACTTCAATCTCAGTTAATTGTTAATAACAACGGATCTTTATCATTTGGATTGTTTATGAACGTCCTTTGACCTTAAAGATTTGCATACCAAAAAAACCACGCTATATTAAAAAAATCTTGCCTTTTTCTAAACATGACCTAAGTAGGACAAATGGACTTTGAAAAGTTATAGCAACGCGTGATTTTGGCATTTTCACAGATAGAACACTTTACAGAAGTAATTGAGTTACTATCTCAACATTAATTTCAATGTAAATTCACATTTTCAAACTTACGATCGGAACTACCGCAGAAACCTTAAATTATGCGAAGTTTAGAAATGCTGGTTGACCTTTTCAACAAACTGTATTTCTGGGATTCATATTCATAACATGAGAAACGTTTAGTTGTTCACGTTAACCACATTATTAGACGCACTTATATTTTCCATTGGAGTGGCTATGACGATGATAAAAAAATTTGTTTAAAATAACGTGAGCGAAAAACCTTGAATAGCATTAGGGTACAGTGGGATTCCAACAAGTGACGCACGTCAAACAAAAGTCTGAAATAGTTACCTATATCCGTTATCCAAGCACCTGTGTGCAGTAATATTTTAGTAGCTGCATCTGTATGAAATTAATGAAACGCGAGGCCAAGATACTATCCTGCATACTAACAAATGACTTCTTATTGGCTGTTTTCTAGTTATTCAGAAATTAATTTCTTTTTTACAACCCCTATTATAGTGGATCTGTTGCGATAGTTTACAGTTTGCTACTGGTCTAGAGATTATCTAACTTAACTGGCTAGAATTCTAATACAACTTTGTTTTTAGTTAGTAGGTAAAACTTTTAAAAAAGTCACCAAAATATTGTAATTACAATGAGATATAACACTACAGCTCTGTTCAATTGTTCGTCATTATCATCCGAATAAACTCTACTTCATTGTGTTTCATTAGTTTATACGCTTATTATCCCACACGTTTAACTTTTGATGATTTGATGTCCCCAGTTTTCTATTAGAGCTAATTGCATGAACATATTCATAACTAGTCCATGTACGAATATTCGTCGTATATCTGTGTGCATACGCTTCAACTTAATTTACTAAGGATTACGTTTAAAAATATGTTTTGAAATCTTAATTTCATTCTTCCATTTATTGTACAAACAGCCTGTTCCCAAACCTTCCTACTTCTAATGATACTCTTGTGACTTCTACTCCCCTGATATATGTCTTGATAATCGCATCTAGCTGTGCTGAAACAATATGGAAACTTGAACTAATGTATATAAGTGTCAGTTTTCACATTACTTGTAGTTGATGGATATTATTATGACCTTTTTGGATGAGTATTTGAAGTGTTTGAATTATACTTTTAAAGAAAAAAAAACTTTTTCTAAATATTTGTTACTATTTAATCTAACCAGTTAAAATCAAATTCAACTATACGATTATTTCATTTATGAGTCAAATTCAAAAGTGAGAAATTCAGTGTGGTACATTAAAATTCTTTTGTTACGTGATATGCATATAATAACTAAAGCTTAAATCATACCGTATTACTTTTACCAATTTCTGTGCACATTAAAAACTGTTTGATTTCAGTCTACTCATAGTACACTAACACATAACACTATTACCTAGGGTGGGTAGGTATTAACGACATATTAGTAAAACTGATAATACTTAGATAATATTCCAAGCTTAAAAATGAATAATTACATTTCATTTACATTAATAATTGAATATTTTTTACTCCCCGTAATTTTTGTTTTGCAAAGTTTTATCCTGACTATTTTGTGCATGATCATCTTTGCAAAGAGAACTGTTTCATTTACGTTGAAAAACTAATTATCTATACAGAAAGTAACCTATTCATTAAGTATGCGTTTAAGTATCCAACTGTTAACGACACTGAGAGGCAGTGATACTACCTCCATTTTCCCACTGTCAAGCACTTAGAGCGAGGTTTGTATCCGCGAATAGCTAGTTGAAGAATTCTACATTAATCACATGCATATATCTTCGTAGTGTGTTCTCTCTCACAGTTGGCCGTTGCTGATATTATCCGGACAACTGACATTAAGTATGTTGCGTAGACAATTATTTATAAATACTTGTACCTTCTTGATGATGGTCATGGTAGTTCTCCAAGTTTCAGCTTCGCACTTAAGATTGTGACTTTGATGTTGTCTTGCAGACAATTGTTTTGAATTGCATATGTTTTTCAATTGTGGTAATGCGACTCTCGCTTTTCCAACCCTTGCCTATACATCTGCATCAGACCGTCCTTATTCATCGATGATGTTGACCAGGCATGTAAGAGATTTCACCTGTTTCAGAGTTTCTCCATCAATTGTGATAGAGTTGGTGTTCTGTGTGTAGCATTTGAGCTGGTCTCTTTAAGCGTTTCTCAAAGTTTTCCACCCATCTGTTCCTCTGTCCTTGAATCTCAGTGATTGTCTTGCCTTCTTTATCCTCAACCGGTTTATCTGGTTTACCATATTTTGGTGTCAGTTTCTTCGTCTTGTCATATAGTTTTTTGATATTTCATTCTCTCGCAAATTCTTCAGCTGTCGTTGCTAGGCCTTCCATGTATTTCTTCTTGTTAGTTCCAATACTCCTCTTCACTAGTTTGTTTGCTACTGTTTATTCAGCTCGTGCCTTGAATTTCTCTGTTCTTGTTGATTGCTGTCTTCTTGTTCTTCCTTTCTTGAATCTAAAACAGGTTTTTCGTAGAGATCTTTTCATTATGATGATGCATTTTGCGGCCCAGTACCTCCTGGCTCGTTGAAGTTAGTGCTTTTTTGATCCCTTTCCAATTGTTCTCCATAGTAATTTCTTCTTCCAGTAGATTCTGTTCTCTCTTGGTTGAGTTTGTTATTATCTCGAAGGAAGGCTGCAACGAACCTTTGTAATGCTGTTTATCCAATTGTTCAGTGCATCTCTAGCATCAATATCATCTTAGCAAACACCAGGTAGATGGTGATCTGAATGTATGTCAGATTCTCTCCTGGTTCTCACATCTTCCATTGTTCATTTGAATATTTTAGTGATGTAAATATGACCGACGTGATTCTCTGTTGTGAGACCCGGTGAAACCCATATGGTGGTGTGAATGTGTTTGTATGGGAATATTGTGTCATCTATAAACATTTTGCTGAATGCACATAGATTTGAGAATCTCTCAACATTCTCATTCGTTTCTCCCTGTCACTCCATGTTGTCCCATGATATCTTCATAGCCGGTGTTGTCAATTCCGATTTGGTGTTTAGGTCTCCTACCTGGATGATCAGGTCCATTCCTGAGAACTTCACCTTGATTGATTGCGGTCTTTCATAAAACTGATGTTTATCGTCGTCGTTGCCATCATTAGTGGGTGCGTAACCCTGCATAACATTCATTGTGATTCCCCCTTCTTTGTTTTGAAGAATGCTTTGATGATTCTAGATCCATGAGATTCCCATCCTATGAGCGCTATTCAGGCTTCTTTAGATAACATCCGAACAAATTTCTGAGTGTGTGGAGTGTTTTCTTCTTCGTGACCCGAGTACAGCAGCATCTCTCTTTAATCTAAACTTTACTGTTCAGCTTGAGTCCAATGGGTTTCATTTATGCCAAGCAAGACCAAGTTGTATTTCCTCATTTCCGCGGCTGTTTGACCGATCGTCCCGGTCTTCTAAATTGTCCGTAAATTCCATGTGCCTATATTAATTGTTGCTGTGGTTGTTAATAGGGGCATCGGCCATGTGACTTCCGAGGAATCTCGTCTTTCACCATAAGGCCTCTTGATTCTTCCGAATGAATGTCCTTGAATCCGTAGGTCAGAGTTTCAGTGCTTTAGTTTATTTATTCGGGTTAGCGTTATTTTTAGTACGGTTGTTTTCTACGGGACGGAATTGCTGACCTTATACCCCATCCTCGTTTTTTACCAGGGATTCGGACCGGCAGTAGCCCTAGAAGTGCTACAGGTGGAGTTTTCTCATACCTATATGTATATGATAATTTTGCTGTCTAAATGAATTTTGTCCATAGAAGTTTTGCTATTCTATTTAATCTAGTTTATCATTCTGTTTTCTAGACCTATAAAAAAATTCCTTTAAAGTTTCGTTACATTAACTGTTAAACTAATTCTCCAAGATTTTTCAATTCAATTGTCTTTTTCATTCTGATTGATTTTTTTTTCTTATACAAAAGTTATGGTGACGCCTATTGGAAAATATACTTTAGAAAATTCATGTAATAATGGTCATCTGGACAAAGATGATGATGATGAAAATGATGATGATGATGAAATCAGTTTAAGTTCTGATGATGAAATTAAATTAAATAATGGTTTAGATAGAAAAAATTCACAATCTGTTTGGTTTCGTGCACAAAAACGTATTATTGGTCGAGTTTTACAAAATGATCAATCTATTAAATCAATAATTGGTAAAAGAGCTTATGAATCACTTAAATCATTACGTTCATTAATGAAATTACATATAAAACCTGAAAAAGATGTAAAACAATTATATAAATATTTAATTAAAACAATTGGAAAAATTGGTGTTATATCAAAACAACAAAATTTAACTGAAGAAGATTATACAAATATCAATGAAATTAAAGAGAAAAGTCGTACAATTGGTCTTACATTAATAAGTTTTGCACAAACTGAATATACATATAATTATAATTTTATTAAAGAACAATTAGATGATTGTAAAGAGATTATATGTCATGCTGTATCATCATATTTAAGTCAAAAATCAATTGAACGTATTAAACATGTATTTAATGTATTAAGTTCAAATGAATTTCTTGATTCTGTATATGATGAAAAAGCGGATGAAATAAAAAAAGCACATCTTCATAATTTAATTAAATGTATAAGTCTTTTATTAGAACAAATTAAATAGTATATTATTTTTTTATACAATTTAATTATTGAATCAAATAACTATTTGTCTATTTTGTGATCTCAACATTTATGATATTTGTATACATTAAGTTACGAATTATATATACATATGGGTATAGGTAATGATTTATATATATCTACTTAGGAGTTCAGAATGTTCAGTGATTCCTTTTTTCCCCCATATTATTCACATACACACTTATGTCTACCTAATTTTGTTGTTGTTGCTGTTGTTGTTGTTGTTTGGAAACATGCTTATCTTTCTATGAATGATTATTTTTATTCTGATACCATGTTATGACAAGTAATTGTGTGTAATTTGAATGCTGCATAGTATTCATACTCTGATTGTATATTATTAATAATGAATATATAGTTTATTCAATTTTCCCTTCTTTATACTTTTGATTATTTTTTTTTCTCATTTTCTAACAAAAATTACTTATTATCTATGCATGAACAAGAGAAAATGACACGCAACTTTTTATATAAATTTTAAATAAATAAAAATTCAAATTGTAGTTTATTTTGTGTTTATTTGTTGCTCTTTTTGCCTTTTAATTATCAGGTACTGCATTATATTAGGGTTGTTCTTTTTTTTATTTAGGAAAACAAGTATTTTAGTGGCTGTGTGCTGATGGTGATGGTGGTCGGTATTCACAATATAATCCTTAAACTTTGTATATAGTTCGTCCTGCTAACTGTTACTAGATAACACCTTAATGATGTATCAATTCAGAAGGTGAATACGAAGTGTTGATTAAGTTTATTATTGCACCATACACAGATAACTAAAATTACTTACTTACTTACGCCTGTTACTCCTCATGAAGGAGCATAGGCCGCTAACCAGCATTCTCCATCCAACCCTGTCCTGGGCAATCCTTTCCAGCTCCTTCCGGTTTCTATTCATCCGTTTCATATCTGCTTCTATTTCTCGACGTAATATGTTCTTTGGCTTTCCTCTTTTCCGCTTCCCTTCAGGATTCCAAGTTAGGGCTTGTCTCGTGAGGTAGATTGACGATTTGCGTAATGTATGTCCTATCCATTTCCATCGTCTTTTCCTAATTTCTTATTCAGATGGAAGCTGATTTGTTCTCTCCCACAAAAGGCTGTTGCTGATGGTATCCGGCCAATGGATGTTGAGTATCTTGCGAAGACAACTATTTATAAATACTTGTACCTTCTTGATGGTGGTTGTTGTAGTTCTCCAAGTTTCAGCTCCATACAGTAGAACTGCCTTGACGTTGGTATTGAAGATTCTCACTTTGATATTGGTTGAAAGTTGTTTTGAGTTCCATATATTCTTCAATTGTAGGAATGCGACCCTTGCTTTGCCAATCCTTGCCTTTACGTCTGCCTCTGAGCCTCCTTGTTCATCGATGATGTTTCCTAGATATGTGAAGGGTTCTACATCTTCCAGAGTTTCGCCATCAAGAGTGATTGGATTGTTGTTCTCCGCCTTGAATTTGAGGACCTTGGTTTTCATAACTAAAATTATACGTACGATAAGAAAGCACAAAGTTGGCCTATGCTCCATTGGGTGTAACAGGCGTTAGTAATAAAGTATGAAAGGGTTGTGCCAAAAAGCAAACGGAGAAGCGTGAGAGGCGAATGAACGAGTCAATGAACAGAATTAAAATATATATAAAGGTACAGTGGTACAGATAAATTGTTATTGGATGGATGTCTCTGTCCGTTAAATAAGTTAACAAAAGGGCTTAACCAAATTAAATGTAAACATACTCAATTGTACGTGAGCTGCTATAGTTGTATGAATAACTGTCGCGTTTTTTTTTAACACTTCTGTCCACTCGTTCGAACTTTAGACGTTGCATCCGGCAACCAACCCAAATAAAGATGGAATCAGTATTTACACTATCGTAATCCATTATGAAGGGCGTGCTTCCTTATCTGTCGATTTCGCTGGCTTACATGGAAAATGTCAAGTTTTCTACGATGAAAATATCACTTCATCATTCTATGGAGGTGCCGAGTGCAGCTCACTCAGTCATGATGGAGGAAAATTACAGCACAGCAAATTTCATCAATTAGTTCCATTATAGAAAGTATTCAAAAATATCAACCTTTGAATAACTAAATGAACGAAAACGTAACCTGATTTCCTGAATACGATACACTTTAATGACTCGATAACGTCTGGTTTATCCCTAGCCAACTTTGACAGTCCTCGCTTAGTTGCACGCGATTTTTTCTATCAGAGAATTTCAGCCTTATTTGGTAAAAAGAAGGTTTATTGATGGACTAATCAGTTTAATGGTGATAGCGTTGGAGTTTTGCACTAATTTCCAAAATCAATGACTCATAGCTTGTATCATATTAATAGCTGAGTAAAAAATAAGTATAACCTATCACTACTTACATACTAAGACTGTTGATATTCCAAGACTAAAACATGAAGAAGTATAGCATTTCCAAAAATTGCGTTAACAACATGATTAAAAACTAAACATAATATACGGGTTTTGGAACCTTAACCATGAATCATAACCCAACTTCCATTCCTAACAATTTTAGGTTTTTCGTAATAAAGTATTCATATAACTTATATTGTGATTGACTGTATCTTGGGATTACTATTTTAGAGGTCTCTGGAAATGTTCAGCAAAGTATGCTTTCTACCTTTAGGTTACTTAACATATCCATGTGAATATATGGTTGTTTATCCGTATCTTTTAATGTATTTTGCATAAATTTATAAGAAAAACCTTATGAAGAGTTCCAAAGAAAATATTAACCTTAATATTATACCTCAGATGACTGTCGATACTTTGATAATCAAGTGAGTTCAGTTGGAACTTATTATTTCGTACTTCTTTTGCTTTTAAAAAGAACTATTTTCAAGCTGGTGTAGACCCTTCATTATTTGTGCTAATAATAATCCATATGCTATTATGAACTTCAATGACCTTAAATCAACTCTGTTACCAATGGCGTAAACTGTTGTTTCGCCCTCGTGAGGATAATGTTACTGATATTAATATATATGGTCATTTATTGGTGAAAAAAACTGTAGTGTTACTTAATAAGTGTAATTGTATTAGAGTAATACTCATTTTTGATAAGCATGATTATTATTATTATTCATTTTGACACCCTTATTTGTTTAGTCGTGATGTTTAGGTCATATTAATCCCTGAGTTACAATGATCAAAAATATTTAATTAAAAGTAAAACAGTCGTTTATTAGATTTCAAGGTTAACGAATGAAAGAGTATTTTATTTTATGTGAATTTTACAAGAGATTTTATAGCTCTAGGGTATTAATGTAAAATTTTACTGTCGTCTTTCGAAATGACCGATCCATGGATGCAACCAAAATTAATTAATTAATTGAAATATATTAAGAATGGTTCTCTGTAATAAAAACGCATACAAAATGGTATTCATCAGTTAAGGTGATTTAATAATACTAAATATAAGAAGTAACAATATGTCTTTGGATAACCCTTCTCTTTTCAAGATATCTGAAGTCTTTGTACCTTTGAAATTGATGTTTATTTGGATAATTTTAAGTAATAAGGTTATTGACACTTTTGAAAGTTTGAGTTTTGTATATTTGTCAATAAATCTTGATGGTTACTCGTTTTCAAAAAGCATTTTCCTTAAGAAGTCTAATTCTACGTATATGACGAGCTATACAGCTCAACTTTTCTTCTTATCAATAAGTTTCCAGCTGCGGAAGCAAGGTAGCTGACCACTCTATTTAGGTCTTCTGTAAACATATCTCGAAGTTCCATCAGCTTTTGTCATTTTAAAATAGAGAAAAATGATGTTTTATCTGTTTTCAACTTCAGGTGGAATTTTTATTGCAGAGTGACAGTTGTTGAATGCCTATAGAATATTTTTCAAATCACATTTATCTCATTAACTGATAAAAGCATTATCCACGTACCTATTATGCAAACGGAAGTTGTCTTCAGTTGGTTGTTTTTCAAATTGACAGTGAAATGGTTTGCTGGCAATCCACCAACATGAGATACAATTAGTTGTAACATTTTTTTATCTGTAGATTTCGTCAAATTGAAATCATGTATTTCCGATAGTTATCGTCTTACGGCTCATGTATTTACATATGAAGCAAATGATCTCTGTAAATGGGACATGCGTGAAAAATGATTCAGAGTCAAGAAAAATCACGATTTTTTCATTTACATTTATCTTCTTTATGAGATCGTGGAATTCAGAAGTGTCACTTAGGCAATAAATGTTAATATTCCTTCTTATAAATTCTATAGGAGACCTGCTAGCCAGTTTGTTGTATATTAAACAGGGTTAAGAAATTTCAAAGATCGTATAGAGAGATAATTGAGGTTTAGATACTTTAGGTTAGTCATATAATTGCGACACTGTTGACCCTGTTGGCTTAGTCTGCCAGTATCTTCATTGATTACGTAATTCTTATTCATTGACTTAAAGATTCGTCTAGTTGTGTTTTTTTTAAATCTTCCGTATTTTCGTCAGCCAATTTTGGATAATTCATTCAAGTAAATATTGATATGAATTACACTAAGTAGTTACCAACCGATCACATCATACTTAAGTTTGTATAGATTGAATAGAGCATGTTGTAAATGTGATCATATTATACCTTTATATAATATTTCTTCTATATTATAAAAATTACTCATTTCGAATTTTGTTCTACAGTTCAAGGTCGTTTTCGCTTTTCTAATTGTCTCGCCTCTGTATTATAATTTTATCGATTTTATGTTCAATTTGGTTAGCGTTCTGAATTATTTTTTCTGGTTAGCAATTTTTTAGCGAGTTAGTTTTCTACGGGATGGGGTCGCTAACTCCATGCCCAACCCTCCTCCTTCATCCGGACTTGGGATCGGGAGTAGCTCCATAGGGGCTTTAGGCGGATGAACTAAAATTTTCCACAATCAATATATATATTTATTGCGTTCCACGTTTTTCTGTGTAGGTAATACTCTTTACAGAGTAACTTCATATAACCTATCCAGGACCTCATCAGAGATCGAACCCAAGATAGTCAGGTTAAGTGACGAGAACTAAAGTGCTAACATCACTAAATTGTAATTGATTGATCCATACTTCAAACCACAATCATTCCCAATTTTACAAGTACTAGTCACTCTAGAATATGTCTTGTCTTTTCAACACTATAAACAAAAATAATGCCTGAATGAATCATTAACCTAAAACAAATATGATGAGAAGAAAATTCACATTTTATTACAGACTGATCGGTGATTAAAGCCATTAAGTCGTAAGTTCGAACTTCTACTAATTATCTCATTTTATGAGACCGTACAATATCATTACTCCTAACAATTATAGTGACTCATAGTCAAGTATACGAACCAGTGCATAGTTGATGAATTAAAAACTAAGTAAACTGAAGGTGATGAAATAATGTTCCAGAAAACCTTCTATGAAGAAACTTTTAAGCCGATGGTATGTATTAGATTTATTCTATGTCCATTTAAATACTTAAAAGGAAAGGTGTGGTGTCGTAATTCACCATGATCATATT